GACAGTTAAATCACCAGATCTCAGTCAAGTGATTTTGTCAGGATTTTGTCAAAATTTCACAAGCGAAATTGCCAAAAGGCAACAAACTTAAATAAAACCAGAAGAAAATTTTGCCGGTATATACGTTTCTCTCGAATAATCGACAAGACTTTTCTGCGCTTTTTATAGACGTAGAAAGTGCGTATGATAATATATGCTTCCCCATTTTAAGAGATAAGATGTTGAAATTATTTCATATTCCAAATCAGGTAGTTAACAATGATTATTAAATTCTATACTAATAGAAAAATATTTTTAAGACATTTTGAGAACACAATTGTAGTTCCAAGAAATAACAACAACGTACTTCCACAAGGTTGAGTTTTAAGCCCTTTTCTCTTTAATTTGTATACTGCTGATTTACATTAATTAAGTTTTAATCACATTCCGTTTAAAATAGTAAAGTATGCAGATGACCTCTGATTATACACTGAAAATAAGAAATTTAAGACTACTATGGCTTCTCTCAAAGACATCTTTGGTGTTGTTGATGAATGGTTTGGAATGGTTAATGAATGGAACATTAAATGGTTTTCAGACTTCCTACTCCAAGTCTGAAGTTTGTGTTTTCAGTAGATATAACATACCTGAATTAAGTTACATTGTCCTAGGTTCTTATAACTTTTCCATTAAAGACTCCGTTAAATATCTTGGCATTTTACTTGATAGGAAATTGACATGGACAATGCATATTAATTAGATGTAAGACCGATGTATACAGGGTTTAAATTAATAAAAAATGGTTACTAAGACTTGGTGGGATCCTAGCGTTGAAACCGCCTTACTAGTCTATCGTGCCTATATCAGGTCCATATTGGATTATGGATGTATCTTGTACGGCACTCCGAGTTCACAGATATTATTTAATCATCGACAATATGTCATTACTTCTTAATTTTATTTTTGATGATTAAAAAACTTTTTTAAACATGGCAACCCTGGTTTATATCTTGCTTTACACACAATCACTCACAGATGACGATCTTGATGATAGTATTGAAAGTCAACGAAATGTGGGTCTACAGAAAAATTCTGCGCGTGTTCTGAACAGATTCAATCTGTCCATTTTGGAAGAGTTTAATGTAATAAATAGACTACTAAAAAAAGTGAACCGGGCATATCTAAATTACTTCGGTCCTATGGCGCACCAAGGAAGGGTTGTGGGGGTTGTGGAGGTCAACCCCCCCTTCTCAGGACATATAAAGCAAAATACAAAAAATCCAAAACGCTAATTTAGTAATTAAATTACCACTTTAAATGTGTAGAATACAATAATTATTGTATAAATACACAATAATTAATACACAATAGATGCCTAATATTAGGCTCATGATAATAGTAGACAGAACGAGTCTGGTGCGAGCAGCATGCTCCTACAGGACTATATTTGCGACGGCTTTGTGGACTATCACGGGTTGAATTCCTCTGTATGTGTTAGCAGTAGAAAGGAGACAGACGAGAGCATTCGACAACAGTCATAAAAAAAGAAGAAAGGGAAAGATCAATGGCAAGAAGGTAAGAAGAGTGAAACAACACGGAAGATGTTGCCCAGTGGACCCAGGCTAATCCCGAGCCTAAGGGACTAGGTAGATTGTATGTTTTAGGGCATATCTTCAAAGGTTCAGAAAGACAAATACAGATAAATGCCCATACTGCGAGAGATGGAATAGGGTTTACAATTACATCCGAAGAGTAATTAAAAAGAAAAAAGAAGAAGAGAAACACTAGAGAGCGAAGAGAAAAAATGTCGGATAGTAGGCAGGATAACAGATACCGGAATCTTTATTTTAAATTTTCAGGACTCCCAAATAGTAGATAAAATTTTAAGGACTCAAAATGGAAGTAGCATAAAACAAATTTCGGTGCCTAATCAAACTCTTCCCTCCCCCAGGAAAATTCTAGGTGCGTCACTGCTTCGGCCACATAGCCCGAAGAATGGGGACTTTAAAACTATTGGTAGTGAAAGAAAAGGTCTTCGAGAGGAAGATCTCCAACAAGATATGAGGACCAAATGAAGACTTACAAATGGGAAAATCCCTACATGAAGTACCTGCTATACAAATGAAGTCAATGTAGGTAGAAAGCTAACAATATTTAGTGTGTCATTACGCCGATACAAGTGCTCAAGGAATGGGAAGGAAGATACAGATAACCAATGGGAATTTTTTCTTATAGCCTTTGGTTTCCATTTTATAAATATACATGGCATAGGGTAGAAAGTATAGTAAAAATATACTCTTTCAGATTATTTATTTTATATGTGTGTGGAAGGAAGGCAATGGTTAATAACTCGCTTTGATTGTAGATAGTAAAGGTCCAACAGGTACTAATCCCTTTCTTCGCTCCATATTCGTTACATATTCGCTCATATAAACTGAGAGGACCTTTTAGAGTCCTTCCCCTCCAGTTCCATGTTTTCAATGCTAAGAAATTGATGATTATTCTCTGTGGAACCCAGCATAACGAGAGAAGGCTAATAAAACCTGATAACGCTTGACACCCAGAGTTTAGTCGTAATAACAGAATTTTCGACCGCGACCGAACATGAAGCGTCTGTTCTCCAATACGACAGGATTAATAGTTTAATAAAGAATAAAAATAAAATGAATGATAGAGATGATCGTGAGAAAATTCTTGTTATTGGAGAAAAACTATAATATATAAGTAACTTAACAAAATGAAAGTAATATATAAAGTTTAAAAACAATAAGGGTATCTACTCAACTTTTATAAACAAACTAACACACAATGTAAAAATTAAAAAGTATGCGATGGCCGGGAATCGAACCCGGATCAACTGCTTGGAAGGCAACTATGCTGACCATTACACCACCATCGCACATGTTAATCCTTGAAACAAATATTTAGTCTCTTTAGATGCGTAAGATTATGAAATTTTAGTTATAATTTGTAAATTATGTAGCTCAGTATATTATACTATAATTTTCTATAATAATAGCTAATAATTTGGCTATGCCTTTTTAGTCAATCTGATATAAAACCAAAGAATACAGAGGGATAGAGGCATATAGAACAGCTCAAATTGGCGATTTGGTTATGGTTATTATACATACTTCAAAACACTCCTTAAGAAGGCTTATTTTTTAATTTGAACGTTTTTGTAATAATTTAAAGTAAATGTATAAAAGCGAAATCAAAAAGATGCGATGGCCGGGAATCGAACCCGGATCAACTGCTTGGAAGGCAACTATGCTGACCATTACACCACCATCGCACATGTAAGACTGGTTTTAATTTACATAACTAAATGTAGAGAAGCAAATCAGGGTTAATAAAATTTTAAACTAAAAATATGAATGAAATCTATGTAATTATTTTACACCAAATTATTCTATAAAATTCATCAATTAAATTTTAATTGATGAATTATTATTGTTATAAGCTTATTTCGTTTTATAGTAGGGCAAATTATTATAGAAATCTCCGTTGAACTCTATTACAACAGATAGATAATATTACATATTAGATCATCAGTATCATCATCACCTCTAACGTTCACTGCTGAACATAGGCTTCTCGCATGCTTTTCCACTTAGTCTGATTTTACACCATCTGAATCCAATTTGTGGTCAGTAGTGTAGTCTTTTTGTCCATCTCGTTGGGGGTGACCTTTATTTCTGTTAGCTTGTATTCGGGTCTCCATTCCAAAATTCTTTTTGTCCACCGGTCATCAACTCATCTTTTACATGAGCTGCCCAGTTCCACTTTGGTGTTGTTATCCTTTCAATGATGTTTGCTACTCCTGATCTTTTGCGTATAGTAGCATTGGGTATTCTATCACGTAGAGAAATCCCTAACATTATTCTCTCCATTGCTCTTTCTGCAACTTGTAGTTTACTCACTGTTGTTCTTGTGGGCGTTAGGGTTTCTACGTTAGAATTCTACGCGTGTCTTGGAAGAGCTTCATATAAAAGACAGGCTATTAAAAAAGTAAACTGAGCATACCTCAATTACTTCAGCTATGTAGCTAGAAGAGCTGGCATCATGGAACTTTGGTAGTAGAAGAAGAGATAGAAGACCGACTACCAAGAAAAAGATCTCTAGCACGATGGGTGGACCAAATGAAGACTAGGGAGGGAAAATCCCTACATGAAGCCGTCCATATGGCACAGGATCGCAGACAATGGAGGCAGCAAGCAAGTTTAGATATCACCACACCCTCATAAGGGCTCAAAAAATGAGGAGGAGACAATGGGTAACCTCATTTTCTTTTAAATCTGGCCATATATTCGACGTCCTAAGGGCATTCTCTCTGTCGGGGCTTTCTCCCAGATTAACTTGGTTAGGTACATATTAGGGGGTCTGTGGACATATCCAGTCTATCTTAGATGTTGGCATTTAATTTCTTCAACTACATGGCTAGCCCTATACACCTAATTAACCTAGGCATTTGTTCTCATTCGGTGTTGGTTAGTATTCCGGTATTGATAGGGTCCAAAGATTATTCTGAGGATTTTTGTCTCAAAATATGTGAGTTTTCTTTCCATTGCTTTTTTCAGCATCCACGTTTCACACCCATCCATGAGCACCGGTCTTACCACCATTTTATATATCCTGATATTTGATGTTCGTATTAGGCTCTTGGATTCTGTGGCGCACTAGGAAAATGTAACTTGTCTTTTACACACAATACAAAAAATACAAAAGGTTAATTTAATAATTAAATTACCACTTTAAATATGTATAATACAATAATTATTGTATAAATACACAATAATTCCCCTCTTCCTCACCATTCCCCGACTCACCCTCACAGGGAATAATGATTAGGTACAGTTTATACTATTTTGTAAAAGTTATTTATATATAATTTTTTTTTTTTTATTAAATATTGAGCACCATCATCCACACAAAAATAAATGCAACGGTTTAAAAAAAAAAGCAAAAATTATTTTGAACTTTTGTTGCTGGATCATTAATTTTTTAATTATTTGTTTTAGGTTAAATCAGAAATATGTTCACGACATCATCGGCTGTTTATTTAATATGTTGTTTTCAAATGGTGTTAAATGTGAGACTGGATGTTGTAAACCAATGGAACTTCTTAGACTTCGATTTGCCATTCAATTTTGATTATAGGGATATAAAGTAAGTAGTAATTATTTTTAATAAGAAAATTGTTTTTCTGCTGCCTTACACCATCGAAATATTTCTGACATTTTGTCCTTCTCTTCCACTATTTAATACACTGAACAAATAATAAAGCCAATGAATAGCACAGAAGAAGATACATTCAACTTAGAAGTCATTCTTTTTCTAAATGTGCCTAGCTTCTAGAGATGTTGGCGACCACATTGACCCATCTTATTATATTCACAGAAGCTCGAAATAAATCAGTTGACGTTAGACCAGTCCATTTCCTAAGATTGGCCAGCCAGGATATACGTCTACGTCCAGGACCTATCTTATCCTCAATCTTGCGTTGTAGAATCAACTATAAAAGTCGGTATTTATTATTACGCATGATTAGGCCAAAGTGAGCAAATTTTCTGTTCTTTACGGTGTTAATAATTTCTTTGTCTTTTCTTAGCCTCTGGAGAATAGTTATGTTACTTGTGTTTTGTATATATGAGGCGCTCAACATACCTCAGTGGCACCACATTTCAAAAGTGGTGCCACTGAGGTATGGCACTTACGGCTTTTTCAATACGAGTTTTAATTTCGTAGCTTTGATCCCAAGTATCCTTAATATGGCAGCTCAAATAGCATTTTTTTTCCACTCTTTCTAACAGTGTATCGCCTATTGTAATTTGGGCGTCTATGTTGAGGTTCTTACTACTGATCATTATTTTTGTCTTCTTGCAATGTAGTTTTAGGCCGTATTTGTTACATGTTTTTACAACGTTATTGATCATCCTTTGGAGCCTCTGTGCACTATCTGCCAGCAACACTGTATCGTCTGCATATCTAATATTATTTATAAGTTGGCCATTTACAGCAATCATATCTTTTGATTCATCTAAGTCCTCTTTAAAGATATTTTCAGAGTATATGTTAAATAATGCCGGTGACAATAAACCTAATAAACTCTAACTCCTTTTTCGACTGTGAAGATCTCGGACAATTCATTTTCTAATCGCACTGTTGCTTTTTGTTTAAGATCAGTCTTATATCCTTACCATCGAGTCCTGGTGATTTTAGGATATCGATTTCGAATTTGAATGAGTAGACACCAGACCCCCATTCTTAAGCTTTTTAAATCAAAATTTGTAATGATAATATGATAATAATGATGATAATAAAAACATCAAAAGTACTAATGTGTGTGAATTTTTGTAAGTTTAATTTTAATTTAAATCCACATACTATAATATCAGAAAAAGCGAGGAGATTCTCACTGTCCCTTACACTCCGTTTTAATCTTTTGTCCTTCCTGGATACTCCAGTAAATTTTAAAAAGTCTAATGAATTTTTAAACGTTTTCTACAGAAGAATCCGCTCGCTCAAACAATTTGAGAAAATCATAATCTTCATGGTTCCAGAATACTTTCGAAAATGGAAATAGTTTATGATTCTATGGATCTATACTTTAAAAAAAAATTATTATCATATATAGAAAAATCATATCGATTGGTGGTTAGTAAAACTTCTTTTCTGAATTTTTTAATAATATTTAATGCGCTATTACACTCCGTATCAAATACTTTCGAAAATGATAGTATTTTAGTGAGTGTTTTATATTATCCAAATATAGTTTTCACCGATTTATTTTCATTTTTTTGAAGTAAATACCACCCTAACGGGAAAAATTGCTTTGTGATTAAAAAAGCAGCTCTCATCCTACTCGAACAAAAATGTAGCAAGTGTATCAGCACAATGTAGCGGGCTTTAGTTGCCAATACTAAAAGAACATGTCAACAACAATAAAACACCAACAATAGCGGTTCAACGGAAGGAAGTCGCAGACATCATTTACAATTATACACGATACATATGCAACACACAATACACAAATATATAGCCTACGTTAAACATACATAAAAAACAAATAAAACACTCAAAACAGTCAGAATATGATATTCTGAGAGTAAAAATAGTAAAAAACCCAGTTCTGCAAAACATAAGCCAACTTAACGTTGGTAATAGTAAGTTGCTTATACTTTTGGCCCAATTTTTTAAATAATCTTTTTTGACTGCTGTGCTGAAATATTAGACATAGATCTCCTTCATAATTTTCCACCTGTTTCGATTTTGTGACTCTTGCTTTCGTTTTTCTGGCAACGTTTCAGATCGTCAGTCCTTATATAAATTAAATTATTTAAAGCACTTAACGTGTTTAATCGCAAACCGTCCCTGATGATTATTTCTAGCCGCACCTAAGTGCGATGGTGGTGTAATGGTCAGCATAGTTGCCTTCCAAGCAGTTGATCCGGGTTCGATTCCCGGCCATCGCATATTTTTTTTATTATTGTAGACAGTGAGCGAACAAAGTATAACCATCCTCTATCAACTCGTTTATTTTAAAAATAAAACAAAGTCGCTTTGACACGTCAAATTCTAGTTAAATTTATTTTTCTATCTAAGGGCCTTGAAGTTTCGGTATTTTGATGATCACATTTTTGATTGGAAATGTTTAATTATTAAGAATTTTTTTACGAACCAAAGAAAATTGTGAGTTGATTCTCTCTTTTGTAGGAAATTATTGATTATTATTTAAATTATGTAAATTAAATTATTCAAAGCACTTTAGCGCTTATTGCCAAGCCGTCCCTGTTGCATATTTCTAACTACGTATAAGTGCGATGGTGGTGTAATGGTCAGCATAGTTGCCTTCCAAGCAGTTGATCCGGGTTCGATTCCCGGCCATCGCATAATTTTTATATTTTTTAAAAATATATTTGGAAAATAAAATTTTTTATTGACGTAGGATTATTGTCATCAGAGATTTCTCAGTTAATTGGCGTAAATAGGATTATCGTATTGAAGTTATAAGTATTAAGCGAATTCTAATGATACAAAAGCACACTTTAAAGTTTTTCACATAAGATCTAAAATTTTGCGTGGCAAATATTCGTTTTCTTTTTTTCAAAGTTCTCTTAAAAGTACATTTTATCAAAACTAGGAATTACTAAGGAATCATTTCACGTGAAATGCTGACATCAACATTTATTTATCTACCAAAGAAAGTAAATGCCAAATAATGTAGTGCTTATCGAACGATCAGTCTAATGTCACATACCTAAAAAACCCTGCTAAAAATCATACATAATAGAATACACGTTAAGCTGGACATGGATATTAGTGATTCCCAGTTTGGATTTCGAAATGGAGTGGGCACAAGAGAGGCACTATTTTCTTTTAACGTGCTGACCCAAAGATGTTTGACTGTTAATCGAGATCTTTATGTATGCTTTATAGACTACAACAAGACATTCGATAAGGTAAAACATGACCGACTTATAGAAGTACTCAAAAGCAAGAACGTGGATGTAAGGGATGTAACATTGATATCAAATTTATACTACAGCCAACGATCAAATGTGAAAATTGGAAGAGAAATGTCAGAAGAAGTGGAGATAAGGAGAGAGGTTAGGCAAGGTTGCATACTGTCGCCTTTATGGTTTAATTTTTATTAAAAGTGAACGGAAGTTTAATTAACAACATAAGGTACCTATGCCGACAATAGAGTAATAATAGCCGACAACTTGGAAGACTTAGAAAGAATAATGAACAACATATTACGACATAGTGGAGAAAATAATATATGAAAACAACACAGAAATATGGAACACATTTAAAGATTTTACCTTGAAAGTAATAGAAAAGTATTCAACAACGTTACTTCTTCTTCTTCCAATGGCGCTACAGCCCAAATTGAGCCTTGGCCTCCTGTAACTTTTGCCTCTAATAAAGGCGATCCCGCGCTACTCGTCTCCAAGCCCGTCAACAACGTTACACAGGCACAAAAAACAACAATGGATGACTGATGAAATACTGGAATTAATGGAGCAGAAAAGGAAACTGAAAGGTAACAAGACAGAATATAAGGAAAAACAGAAACTAATTAAACAAAAAATAAAGGTGGCTAAAGAAAAATGAATGGAGGATAAATGTAAGGAAGTAGAAAAGTTTAATGAAAAACATGATACGTTTAATATGTTTAAAAAAGTTAGAGAAGTAGCTGGTCTTTATCATAAGAAAACTCCACATACTATAACCGATTCGTCGGGAAAAATGATAATAGACGAACATGAAATTCGAACAAACTGGTGTAATTATATAAGTGAACTGTATAATGATGATAGAACCGAAGAACTGGAGACTTTAGTTGAAGGTGAAGGACCAGAAATACTAAAATCAGAAATACTGTATGCTATAAAGTTAGCAAAGAACAAGAAAGCCGTTGGCCCTGATAACATACCGACACAGATGTTAAAGCTTATAAATGAGGAGAACATTGGAATACTGGTCAAGCTTTTCAATGATGTTTATTCGACTGGTGATATCCCTGAAGATTGGTTAAAGTCCGAATTCATAACACTACCAAAAAAATAACGTCCGAAAAACTGTAGCGATTATAAAATGATAAGCCTTATGAGCCACACTTTAAAAATATTTCTACGCATCATCCACAGTAGAATTAGAGATAAATGTGAATAAGACCAGGATGAAACACAATTTGGCTTCAGAAATGGACTGGGAACTCGGGACGCCCTCTTTGCACTAAATTTATTACTGCAGAAATGTCGAGATCAAAGGAAAGACGTCTTTACTCTATTTATTGACTATAAAAAGGCTTTTGATCGAGTACAGCATCACAAATTAATTACAATATTAAAAGATAAAGGAGTTGACAGTCAAGACATACGATTCATAGAAAAGTTATACTGGCGTCAAACACCGACAGCTTGCATAAACGGAAAATCAACAGAAATATGTAAAATACAAAGAGGTGTCAGACAGGGTTGTATACTATTCCCACTGTTATTTAATTTATATTCAGATAGAATATTTAAAGAAGCGCTACATAATTTGGAATGGGGCGTGAAAGTGAATGGAATTCTGATAAATACAATCAGATATGCAGACGATACAGTTATTTTAAGTGATGACATAAATTAACTACAATGCCTTTTAAATGCCAATGATACAGTGGGAAGAGAGTTTGGCCTAAACATAAACTGTTCAAAAACAAAACACATGATATTTAGCCGTTTAGCATATCAAGATGCACGATTAAATGTTGATGGTCATATAATTCAAAGAATGTCCATTTTACTTATCTTGGTTGCCATATTACTGAACAACTAGATCCAGATCAAGAGATAAAATGTAGAATCGAGATAGCCCGCACGACATTTTTAAAAATAAGGTCATTCTTCTGTAATGATAACTTGCAACTTCAGGTAAACGTATACTAAAAATTGCATGGACGGCTATGCTGACAAATGTGGCAGTCCCTGAGAGAGCAAATGCTGCTCGCGAGCTGCTTGATAACATCAAATGTAGAAAGATGGCCTATTTTGGACACGTAGTAAGGGGAGACCGATATAATATTTTTCAACTTATTATGATGGGTAAAATCGAAGGACGCAGAGGAATTGGTAGAAAGCAGGCCTCTTGGTTGAAGAATATCAGGGAGTGGACAGGAATAAGAAAAGCTGAGCAACTCTTTCGAGACAGAGACAGCTTCGCCATGTTAATCGCCAACGTCAAGGGAACTTGATAGGGCACGTTTAGAAGAAGAAGTGGAGAATACGGACTCTCTCTTAACATCAAAAACACCAAATTCATGAAAATTAGCAAGAACGACAATACAAATGAAATATTAACGGTAGGCGGCCAGCAGATTGAGAGAGTAAAAAGATATACGTAGAGTCAGAATTGAAAAAGCACGTGCTTTTCTTCGTAAATATGAAAAAGATTTTATGCAGTAAAGATCTGACATTGGCCCTCAGAATAAGGCTAATTAAATGCTATATACAGAGTGTACTCTACTATGGAGCTGAATCATGAGCATTAAATCGGAATACAATAAATCGACTTAACGCGTTTGAAATGTGGACATTTAGAAGATTGTTAAGAATTCCATGGGTGGATAGAGTTACGAATGCAGAAGTGTTAAGGAGAATAGGCAGACAGAAGGAAATGGAAAATACAATAAAAGAAAGGAGATTACAGTATCTCGGACAAGTGATGAGAGGCGAAAGATACAACATCTCCAGACTTAAAATTCAAAGAAAAATAGAGGGTAGAAGAAGCGTAGGAACAAGACGCGTTTCCTGGTTGAAGAACCTGAGAGGGTGGTTTGGTTGCAGCTCAAGGCAATTTTTCAGAAGAGCTGTCGCGAAAATCAGAATAGCCATGATGATTGTCAATTTTCGTCGCGGAGATGGCACTTAAAGAAGAAGAAGGAATGACTGAAAATCCTACAATTGGTACGCTCATTTGATAAGCAGCAAAAATTATAGAAATTAAATATTTTAGTAGGAGAAGTAAACTCCATCTGTAAACTTTGTATCAAAATCATGTAACCGAGTCCCGTCGTGTTCCAACTTTCTGCGTCGAATTTCTGAGGAATTGTACCCCAATAATCTATAGATATTTAAAAGATGACTTCGTTTACAAAACCGCCAAATTTATAAGTATAATAATTTTAATAATATGTGTAATAAAGTGTACAACACTGAACTGTATCTCGCTTGTAACGCGCCGTTGATGCTTATCTATATAACATTTCAAGTGCGATGGTGGTGTAATGGTCAGCATAGTTGCCTTCCAAGCAGTTGATCCGGGTTCGATTCCCGGCCATCGCATACTTTTTTAGTTTATATAGATATTATTATATATTCGAAATATATAATAAAATATAAAAAAATTATATAATAATAAAATATAGAATAATAATAAAAAAACGGTCGAACACTTCTATTAGTATTATTATAGTTGCGATTTTTTTCCATAAAAACTTTTTATACGAAGTGTATTAGATAACGGCCAATACCAACTTGCTTATTTTAAATAGAACACCCAGTATATTAATTAATTTTTAGATTCCTCAGATCATTTTAGACAATTTTTGAATACAATGTCCTATACCTATCTTTGACTCTTTCGGAAATATTAAGTAAAATGCAAAAATTCACATATCTGAGGAATCTAAAAATTAATAAATATACAGGATATTCTATTTAAAATAAGCAAGTTGGTATTGGCACACGTTATTTGATACACCCCGTATAAAAAATTTTATGGAAAAAAATAAATACGCTATACTTTGATAAAAATATCTTTGTAATATTGCTCCAATATAATTGTCAAATCACCAGAAAAATAAGTTATAAGGCCCCAAAAAAAAAAAAAAAAATTGTTTAAAAATTTCTTAATTTTTAAAAATTTTAGTATATATCGATCGGATATTGGATCGGTTGCCAATTGGTTGTCTCCAGTACGGTGTAACCAAGTTAGAAAAGAAATATGTTAACTTAGGAAGGGATCACTATAGGAGAAATGCGACCAATTTGTGGCATTAGAGTTAGAAGACCCTGAGGGTTCTCAGGGTAACAACTAACAATAACCACGGACGAAACTACAGCTACTTGAGGAAAGGATGGCCAAACGTTAAAACGTATAAAACGAATGAAAAAGGATAATGCGAGTGAATAATAAAAGTAAAATGTAATGGCATGTCTCGCAAAATAGGAAAACAAAAAACAAAATGGTATATCGATGGTAAGGCGACCAATAGTCAGAAATACTTATATACGGTTACCTTCCATCGATATACCATTTTGTTTTGTGTTTGTTACATATTTAGACACAAAGCAAAATGTGGGAAAACATTTATTATGTTTGAATTAGATTATAATTTGAACTTTCACACTTTTTTTGAGTCAATACGGTAGCGGTATTTTAATCTTCTTCTTCTTATTGCGCTGTCTCATTTCGAAAGTTGTCGATCCAAAAAGCAATTGTAACTTTGCCATCTTTCAGCGACGAGTTTTAGCGTCTTACCAAAGAATACTATATTCTTTGGTCTTACTACTGATCTTTTGCTCTACCCTTTACTTTCCAAGATCATTATGTATTTTAATAAAGATTAGAAATGTTGTTATTTAGGTATTATTGAGAAAAACAATGCAAAGGTTATTCAGGTACATTACAACACACTGTCGTTTGTATAATTTTTCCATCAATTGGTGATTGGAACTGTTTATTCCAGAATTCCATAAATTATTTATTTTATTTTAAAGAAAAAGCGACTACCGATTTATAACACTCAATTGTATTTATTAATTTAGTACAAATATATAATTGGTTTTAATTCGTTTCCATTTCAGGCCCGAAAACACCCTCTTCACAGGTCTCGAAGTAACCGCCGATCGTCTCTTTTTAGCCATGCCACGGTTGCGTGCCGGAGTTCCCGCCACCTTGGCGACCATCCCCAGAAACACCCCCAAGGGCTCAAGCCCCATTCTGAGGGCGTTCCCTGATTGGTCCTTTCATGGCGCCGCCAGGGGCGATGTCAATTGTTCCAATCTTATTTCTGTCTACAGGATGAGAATAGATTCGTGTAATAATTTGTGGGTATGTACTTATTTGTGAAATATTCATTCAAAAATAAGATACTTAATAATATACAGTAAAAAAGTATTGTAGTTTATTTTTGTAATTAAAGTATTATTATGGCACTATTATCTTATAAATAACTATGTTTTTAAAGCTATACTTACCGTTATTACAGTATTACGACAAAACTAAATCAGTAATTTTAAAAAATGGTACCTTAACTTATAATAACTTGAAGTGGTGTAATATTTACTGTAATAATGACTTAAATTTTGTATATACTAGAGTTGGGATAAAGTATGAAACCAAGTAAACATCTTTTTCCCTAATTTACAATAAATAGGGCGTTTAGGTTCCCAAAATTATATTTTAAAATATGAAGGGGCATATGAAGGGTACATAAAGAGCGGATTCATAAAGGGCTAAGTCACCAAATGTTTATTTCGTACAAAACGAAGTTTAAATTTTAAAACCTGATTGATAAATTATTGATTATGATCATAAACCCTGTTAATTAGATCAATTAGTTGGGTAATTAATGAGACACACACAATAATGAGACAACGATAATGAGTAAACCAGTTGATTTCATAATTTATTCACAATTTATAGTTGCTATTTTCGCTACTTTTATGTACAAACAAATATTGCATTTTCTTTATAATTATTTATCCAATATAATTTAACCAGCGACCTCTTAAGTTTAATCCTAAACAAATGGTATGGAGACTTTGGAAGATAAAGATGTGCGAAATACATTTTTTTACTATTAATACTTGCAATAAATTCTGTTCTTAGCTTTAGCAACGTTTGTTTGACTATCTATCTATACAGCCCTTAAAATCCATCCTTGGATATAGGCCTCCTCCTCCTTCTTCCATGCCTCTCTATCTTGGGCAATTTGCATCCATTTTGACCCGGCGTGTTTCTTCAGGTCATCTGACCATCGCATTTGTGGCCTTCCCCTTTTACGTTTGTGATTCCATGGTCTCCAATGTATAATTGTTTTAGTCCATCTTTCATCTTTCTGCCTTAGTGTGTGTCCGGCGAACTTCCATTTAAGCTTTGCTACTTGGGTTGAGACATCTTTCACTTTTGTTTTATTACGGATCCATTCTTTTCTTTTTTTGTCTGATAGTTTAATGTTCAGCATTTGTCTTTCCATGGATCTTTCTGTCTTTGCTATTTTTTCCATATTTTCCTTTGTAAACGTCCATGTCTGAGAGCCATATGTGAGGATAGGGAGTATACATTGATTGAAGACTCTCGTTTTTAAGTATTGGGGGTATTTTGAATTCTTTAGAATATAAGACAGTTTTCCGAATGATGCCCAGGCCAATCTTATTCTTCTCTTTATTTCTTCGGTCTGATTTTCTTTATTTAATTTAGTGATTTGGCCTAGATATATATACTCTTTTACTTGTTCTATTTTTGTTTGTGCCACTGTAATCATAAGTTCTTCTGGTTGATTAGTCATGGTTTTTGTTTTACTATAATTCATCTTGAGTCCAATTTTTGTTGATTCTCTATCTAGTTCTTCCACCATTCTTTGTAATTCTTCACTTTTTTCTGTTATTAATACAATATCATCAGCATATCGTAAATGATTCAGATTTTGCCCGTTTATATTAATTCCCAAGTCATCCCAGTGTAGTCGTTTAAAAACATCTTCTAGCGATTGGTTAAATAACTTGGGCGATATGGTATCTCCTTGTCTTACTCCTCGGTTTATTTTAATAGGCTCCGTTTGTTTCATTAGCTTAATAGTTGTTGTTGCCTTGTTGTATATATTTGTAATTAAGTCGGTATATCGGTAGTCTATTCTGCTGTTTTGTAGGGAATTCTGTACTGCCCAGTGTTCCACACTATCAAATGCCTTCTCAAAGTCAATAAATGCCATGTATAGCGGGATATGATATTCGTTAGTTTTTTCGATTAAAATCTTCATCGTTAAAAGGTGGTCACTTGTACTGAAGCTCTTTCTAAATCCGGCTTGTTCTCTTGCCTGGTATCCATCTAATTTAGTTGTTAATCTATTTGTTAATATTTTGGTTAATAGTTTGTACATCACATTTAATAAAGTTATGGGTCTGTAATTCTTTAGATCCTTTTTATCTCCTTTCTTAAATAGTAACAGTGTTATTGCTTCGTTCCAACTGTTGGGTATTTGTTTTGTCATTAAAATTTTATTCATAAGTATGTACAAAACTTCTCTAGTTGTTTTCCCACCATGTTTTAGCATTTCTACAGTCAACCCGTCTTTTCCTGGCGATTTATTGTTCTTCATCTCTTTGAGTGCTCTTCTTATCTCGTTCTTACTGATCTCTGGTTGTAAGTCGGAATTAACATTTTTTATTTTTATTTGTAGTTGCTTAAGGATTTCTTGGGTTGGTTTCTGTTTTGTATTGTAGAGGTTTTTATAATATTCTTGTGTTATCTGTATAATTTCTTCTACATTATTGGTCTCTGTACCTTCTTTGTTCTTTATACTATTAATTTGTATGGTTCCAAGCTGTGGTTTTAAGCACAGATAAAACAAGCACAAGGTTTGTTTGACTAAGTTGGAGAAAATACGGTGAGCGAGAAAATGATCAAGACAACCAATGGGTTCATAATGTTTGCAAAGCTTTCGCTTATGTCGCATTAAGTGGGTACTTAAGAGGTTAATTTAAGGTTTTAATCGATTGGTGTAGTTGCTGGTCGGTTGCATAATCAGAAATAGTTGTGATTACAATATAGAGAAAACAGTCCCACATTGACGAAGGGTCTGAGTAACTAATAAAAATAGATGGCCTCTTCTTCTTCTTCAGTGCCTTATCCGGTCCGGATGTTGGCGATCATCAAGGCTATCATGGTTTTGTTGACTGCTCTGCGAAACAGCTCCGTCGAGGTCATACCAAACCATTGTCGGAGATTTTTCAACCACGAGATACGACGGCGTCCCGGTCTTCTTCTGCCAAATACTTTACCCTGCATAACGAGTTGAAGAATTCGATATTTTTCTTCGTTCCACATCACGTGGCCGATGGCCTCTATCTGGGATAAAACAGAGTTAACATTAAGGAAACCACTAGTGGCATATGTTTCGAAATTCTATTTGCAAAGAGGTGTTAAACTAAATTATATGTGAGTAATAATTACAGCTAATAAGCAAGTGTTCAGAAAGAACTATAGGAGAGGACACTTGAAAATACCTTCATTTATGAAAAATAAGTCTAAATTTAAGGATGATGGTTGGTTATTAAACATTTTAGGTTCAGTTATCAGTTGTATTAAATTTAAGTTCATAATAAAGTTGTTAAACAAATTCTGGGAATTGATGGTATCGCTTTTGGAAATGATGGGCCAGCTAATCTCTGGAAAATTGAAATCTCCAACTACAATAAAATTTTCAAGAGATGATAGTTCTTCAAGATATTTCTGAATATATATGTATTTATAATCAGCCGATTCTTTATGATTCACCATGTATAAAAAATCAAATACTTATTATTGGTCACTGTTGATATTGATCTCAATAGATTATCAGATGTATCCGGTGGCTTTGAATAAAGTTTAGACAACAGACATTCTATTAGTACAATACGGTGATTTAAATTAGCCGTGACCATGAATTGCAACATGATAGATAATGATCTAAACAATTCGACACATGCATAGTTCTATTTATGAACACAATATGGTTTTTATGTAACCAAATAACAATTTACTCGCTTGTGTACCTCTAGTCACACCCTGCATTTAACGCAAGGCTGAACCATTTTTTCAAAAGGAAATAAAATCAAAGTACAAAACTATTCCACGGAAAAATGTTTACTATTTGTCAATCAATGTCAAAAAATCAAGTGTAAAACCATTTTTATTATTTAGTGTTAAATTCTTATAAACTTTATACCTAACATCCGTTGCACTAAAAAAAATATTAACCCTTTCAAATATGAATTATGAATAAATGTTAGATTACAATGTTGTGCTTGTAGATGTATTTTTTTATTTTTGGTCCCAAATAAAATTTTGTACAAAGTGCCATTTTCCACATGTTTATTAAAAAAGAGTATTAAGTAAATGTGATACAGGTTTTGCGCGTGAAGGGGAGACATCCAATGGTGTCTCACCTCATTATATTTTGATTTAGTTCTGAAGAAGGTCTTGGGGCCAGGTTATATCTAGTCTTCTTGTGGCTGGTCCATTGTTGTATAATTCCCTTACTAGCTCATTTTCGTGGTGAATGGTACGTTCATTTTGTGACTCCGTGGCTCGATGGATTTTTTTTCTGATGAAAAGAACCTTTAAAAGTCATAGTGTAGTGTTTGGTTACTTACGTACCATGGCGCATCCACTATCGATCTTAGTACTTTAGACTGGAATTTTTGAATAATATTTAGCGACTTTATCTTTGCACAGCCTCATATATGTAGTCCGTAGAACCAGATAGGTTTGAGCATGGCTTTGTATAGAAGAAGACAATACATTTGCCGGAATTTTCAGTCGAGCTGCCTTCTTTTGGTCTCGATATGTTTCTTCCAAGTAAGACGTTTGTCAAGATGGAAGCCAAGGTATTTAGCGTCTGTTACTGTTGGTATTCTTACATTTTCCATCCTTACAGGTGGGCATATATTGTGACGGTTGGTAAATGTTATTTGAGTTGATTTTGTTTTATTTACTTTTGTTTTCTATTTCGTATACCAATCACTGAGTATGTTCAGATATGTTGCAGGTTTTGTGAGGCTTGTATGGGATCTTTATTTACGGCTAGTATTGCTACGTCGTCAGCAAAGGAAGCGATTGTAGTATTATTAGTCTCTGGTATATCGGCTGTGTAGAGTGAGAAAAGCAGCGGCCCTAGAACACTACCATGCGGAACTCCGGAGTTGATAGGACAAAGGTTGGACTTTGAATTTTACAGATAAATATTTATTTGATATGTAGGATTTAAGTAGGAGAAAATAGTTACTGGATAGTGCTATTTTTGCTTTGTAAAGCAGACCTCTGTGCCAGACTTTGTCAAACACTTGTGAGATATCTAGAAACATAGCGTTGCAGTATTTCTTTTCTTCAAGACTTTTTGATATTTCATTTATCATTCGATGAACTTACTGTGTAGTGGAGTGATTTTCCTGAAAACCAAAGTGATGTTTTGGAAGTAATGTTAGGAATTCATGATCTGCGTATATCCTTTGTAGTAGCAATCTTTCAAAACCTTTGCTTACGGTTGGGAGTAGGCTGATGGGTCGATAAGATGTTACTTCATTGGGCTCTTTTCCTGGCTTGAGGATCATGAATCTTCAGAAAATTTTCATATTTTTGGAAAGTATGATAGGCTTAGCATGCGGTTAAATATAACTGTTAGCAAAGTTATGGTCTTGCGAGGAAGTTGTTTTAGTACTTGTACCGAGATTAAATTATAACCTGGGGCCTTTCGTGAATTGAGTTTGATTATTTCTTTCCTGACTTCTACAGGAGTGAAACTTTTAATTGGGAGGAACATTTGACATGCTGCGCTAATTAGTTTTTCCACTTCTTTTTCAGGGTCTGCTGGCTCTGTTTGAAATATGTTTGTAAGATGTTCAGCAAAAACGTCCGCTTTTTCTTTGTTGGAACAGGCCCATTCGTTATTTGGTTTACGGATGAGAGGAATGGTTGTGTATGGTTTTTTTAGCTTCTTAGTCGCTTTCCATAACGTCTGGTCATTTGCTGTAAGGTTTGTAATGTAATGTTCGAAGGTTTCGTTGTTTGCGACTTTGATGACTACGCCAAGTTTCCTACGTAGTCTATTGAATATATGCAGGTCTATGTTGTTTCTAGTTCTCCTCGCAAGACGTTTTTCAGCAATAAGTTGTTCAAAATGTTTGAACTAAAATATTTGTCGACATAATATGTGCATCTTGAGAAAATAAATGCATGACTGCAAAAAATTCACCATCCTGTATAGAGCACTGGACTTGAAACCTTCTTTTTTAGGAAATGCTCAACAACGAAAGAGATCACGAAAACTATACTGTTTCTAAAAACCAGTCAACTCTACCACAAGATTTAACCTAACAAACATTAGTTCTTCTTCTTCTTCTTCCTCGTTATAAGCAATTCTGCCCTTTCAATTTTCGCGGATTAATACATCTGTGGAAGGTGGTCACTCCATCTTTTGTGCGGTCATCCGATACTTCTTTTGCCGATTGTTAACTTATCTCTTGCTATTTTGACACTAGTATCCATCATTCTGCTTATGTGGGTATCATTCTTTGTTCTATTTTGTGCCCATTCATTTATTCACTGTACGCTACATTTTCTTCTAATTCTTCACTTCTCTTTCGATCTCTCAACGTATTTCCTGAAATTCTTCTTCACCATATTTCAGTAATTCGTTTGGTATCCCGTCTTTACCTACTTCTTTTCTGTTCTTCAGCTTTTTAAGTATTTTACGAACTTCTTGTACATTATATTAAGTTCTTCATTTGTGATAATTTCTGGTGCTTCCAGTTCTAACGTCGTTTGTTCTTTCTCTGAATAGAGGTTTTTTAGGTAGTCAATCCAGATATCCTTTTCTATGTGTTTTGGTTCCATTACTTCCTTTACCTCGATTCTTTGACCTCTTATGAAGCACTATATTTCTTTTTGCAGTCTGTAAAAATCATTAGTTAAAGTGATAAAATTATTATTTCTCTTCATTATTTATTATATATTTAAAAGTAATGTTCTCATACCAATAGCGATAGTTGTAGAGGTACTTTATGTAAATAATAATAATAATAATAAGTTTCCCTTTTGCTAAGTGGTGTTCTTTTGTCACACATGAACTCATAGTTTCATATCTAACAAGTGGTCTTCACAAATATGAAACACTTATTAAAATTGTAAAAAATTACCAACAAAAATACTTTTCACATTTCTTGTTTTGTAGGTGTTGGATTCTGGAGTTCTAAACTCTCTGGATGAATTCACTAGAATATGTCAACCTAAATTGGTGGTTTTTGATTTGTTTAGAGATCAAATTCTCCGAACCGTTTATCTTCCTAGTGGAGTTCTTAGACCTTCTTCGCTTTTAACGAATCTTGTAGTAGACGAAAGTATTCAGGGACGTTGCGATTCGTCTTTTGTTTATATGACTGATACCGCTGCACCAGGTAAGTTATTTTATACATATGTTGACATAGCCAAACAAAGCAATCTAGTTGGTAACAACATTTTTAATCTCAAGGTGATAGCTTGAGCGAATTACTTTTTAATTTATAGTGTATTTTTATGTATGAGAGAGTAATAAAACAATAAATTATGTATGCAAATCCCTAAACTGTTGATACGGGTGACTCAATGAAAAACAGATATTTGTCAACAAGTTTACAGAAGTATATAGGAAAACAATTTTAAATTCAGTATGACCACCAGGTATAAAGGTTGGAGCAGAATAGAATACAATAGTAGTGAGGGTTACTATTCCAAAATAAGGTTGCCAGTGTCGGAGTGATGGAGGTTAACAGGTACTAATGAATTTGCAAGAAATGTAAGATGTTTATTTTATTGGTTATATATAACCATTAAAATTTTAATAAGTACCTACCTATTTGCAAAATAAAGTTTAATTCTTTAGATAAAATAAAACGTTTTATTTTATCTGAAATGAGTGCATTCCACGAAGTAAGGGTTTCAACAATCAAACATTTAATTCTTTAATTCCAGGAATCTACGACAGTAATTGACTAGATAATTACCTTCTAAACTTATTCCACAGAAAATGTGATAGTGGGTTTTTCCATTTTGTAGGAAGGTTCAAGTGGCGTATTCAAAATTCTTAACAGTTCACTAAAAGTAGGTACTTCAGTTGCAAGGTGCAGTTTATTGTGTATACTAGTGTTATGAAAAATTTGGAAGTGCCGTGTAAACGCCGAAAAATTGGTCCTTTAACAGTTAATGAAACATTAATATTTAATTGTTTTAAATCATTTACAGACAAACGTTTATGTGAAAGTGTTCATGAGACCGTTGAGTTAGTTAGCAGTACACTTGGTGTTGGGAAATCTACGATTTACAGAGTTATTAAAGAAGAGAAATGTGGTAGTTTTCAAATGCCACGTAATGCTCCAGGGAAACCAAAATTTCAAATAGAATATCGTTTTAAAGAAGGACTTCGACGGAAAGTGCATGAATTCTTCTTTAGACAAGAATTTCCAACATTGGATAAAGTTCTTGTCTCAGTTCGAGATGATAAGGATTACCCAGAAATGAGTCGAAGTACGTTATGGAAACTTTTAAAAGAAATAGGCTTCCGCTGGAAAAAGAATCCAGAAAGTCTATTTTATTAGAAAGAAGCGATATTGTCATATGGAGAAAACATTTTCTAAGAACCATAAAGGAAATGAGAAACCAAAAAAAAAAATATTTTATCTTGATGAAACATGGATTAACGAGGGTCATACACCAAATAAATTTTGGCAGGATGAAACTGTTACAAGTCAAAGGCACGCTTTTGTAAATAACTTATCTACTGGCTTAAACCCACCTTCAGGAAAGGGAGGCAGGCTGATAATAGTACACATTGGCAGTTCAGACGGTTTTGTTGAAGGTGGTTTATTAACTTTTGAATCAACTCATACCGGTGACTACCATGAAGACATGAACGCTGATGTCTTTCAAGAATGGTTCGAACAAATGATAGATCTTCTTCCTAAGAACTGTGTAATAGTAATGGATAATGCAAGTTATCACTCCAGACTTATAGAAAGACTGCCCACAACTAAGTGGTTAAAAAAAGACTTGCAGAATTGGCTGAGTTCAAAAAATATTACGTACCATCCCGGATCTATAAGAAAGAAACTTTATTCGTTGTGTGCCCTTCATAAAGAAAAATTTAAAAAATACGAAATTGATGAAATTGCCAAAAATCGTGGAATGACAGTACTTAGATCCCCACCATATCATTGTGAATTAAACCCGATTGAACTGGTATGGGCACAGATAAAGAGTGAAGTTTCAAGAAAAAATACCACTTTTAAAATTCATGATGTTAAACAGTTGTTTTTGGAGGCCGTAAATAATGTAAAACCTGAAAACTGGGAAAAGGCAGTAAATCACACTATTAAAGAAGAGGAAAAAATGTGGAAGCTGGACAATATTACTGATAAAATGATCGAGCCAGTTATTATAAATCTTGGTTCTGAAAGTTCATCTTCTGAATCTGATTTGGATTTGTAACAAGTAGCTGTAAGTTTTATATTAATATTTTTATTCATCTATTTAACATACCTTAGACGGTTTTAAAAACTCTTTTTCTCTTTTGTAATTTTTAAAAATTAAAAAAAATGTGAATTTTTTAAAACCCTTTTTAATGTAGGCCAGTCAGTTCTAATATAGTGTGTGATAAAAGAGGTCACTTTTGTTTACATACACATAACACTTTATAACACTGAAATAATTCATTTATTTTTTACAATTATTCAAAGTAATTTTTCAATTAATCTTGACCACGCCCATGGAGTGGTCGGAGATTCCAGTTAAAATTATGCTAATTACTCTCTCGTTCATAAAAATAACCTATAGTAACGGACAAAACCATAGCAGAAATTAAAAGTACAGGACAGGGATATAAGACATTAGAAAAACAAATATAAATCCTTTGCTATGCAGAAGACGCACAGAGTGATATTTTACATAAAAAGCTAGTCAAAACATAAATTTAAAAAACTAGCACATCAGACCTATTCTTGTCCACAAATCACGTAGTCTAACCAAACAAATTTGACAGCTGTCACTTCCTAATACGTTTTTATTTAATTTTGTGAAAACTTTAAAAAGCTGTTTATGGAAGTACATAGTCTAATCTTTATTATGAAATAACTCTTATGCAGTATCGATGAGTAGAACGTAACTAAAAGCATTCGTTTATATAGAAAATTATACAAAAAATTGGATAAATTTTGATTGAAGTTCTAGGAATGTAATGTTTTAAAAAATGGTTCAATATTAAGATCTTACTTTCCTCTGGTATATTCATAACTTTCGCTTTTACAAAAATCACTTGAATTATAAAATTAAAGAAATTGCAAATCGAACAAAAAAATGTAGTAAAATCTTAAAATTAAACGCAGCCAAAACGTGTTACCAAGTGTGAGAATCACTTACAGCGCATTGCAGACATTCAAGATAATATGCTGTGTGAAGATATCAACAGCTAGGACCAAATCGGTGAAAAGTTCAAGGGGCCTAAAGTAAGAAGAATAAGAAGCATTCTCTGTCATTTATTCATTACTAATTACCGTGATTATCTTCTAGTATTTTGTTTGTTGCTTTTCTTGTCCTTGAATATTGTAAATATTTCTAGATTTACTTAAAATCAAATTATTTTTAATGTTATTGTAATCAAAAATATTACGTTTATGTAATTTTTAGGACTGATTGTGTATGATGCTCTAAGAGATACAGCATGGAGATTTACTCATCCTACAATGTTTCCAGACCCAAATTTTGGTGATTACAATATTAATGGCGAGTCTTTTAGTCTTATGGATGGAATTGTGGGAATCACACATTCTCCTAAACTAGCAACTGTGTATTTCCAGCCATTAGCGACGGACAGGTAAATATTATGCTTATTTATAATACATACAGTGTTGCCATATTCAGATTTTGATATTGAATAAGATCTAACAGACCGATTCATTCTGTTTTTATTCGAATTCATTCTGTTTTTAAGGTGCGAATTATATTTTTGTCACGTGAGTGCTTATTTTACAGTATTTTGTTATTTTTTGGACAGTAAATTAATTAAAAAAAATTAGAATACACCGTTTTAAAGATTTTATTATTGATAGTAACTAAAAATTGTTAATAATTACAAAATTACGCCAAGATATCTACAGGAAACGTATAGATTTGCTTACTATAAGCATGTTTTAATGAAAAAACTTGTGAAATATATAGCTATTGCAATGTACTAAGAAAAACTATTGCCCTGAAGTATATAAATGTTAGTTTTAGTAGGGCACTGTATATATCGGCATGCTGTTGAGTCAGTTTTGCTTTAAAATTTTTTTATAAATAAAGATTTTCTCTTGAAACCAAAATTAAGATTTTTTTCTAAATTTCTCTCTTCTACAATTTTCAATGCAAGGACTTTTTTTAACTTTAACTGTTTTTATTTCCTTTTTCATTTTCTGTTATGAAACAGAGAAAACATTATTGTAATTTAATTAGAATGTTTGGAATATAAGATTACGATGAAAAGGATGAACCAGTTGAATGAAAATAATAAATAACACATTTTTTGTATTTTAGAATCTTCAGTATTCCCACATCGACGTTAATTAAGGGCCCACCTGCAGAATTTGAAAAGTTACCTATAGCATTCGTGGGAAAAAAATCATCTCAAGGACTTGGACTAACACTTAATCTCTTAGACGAAACTATCTATTTTAGTCCTTTAACAGAAACATCAGTTGCATCCTGGAATCCGCTTACTAATGGACAAACGTAAGTCGTAACTTTTATAGAATTGTATGATCATTCATTCATTTAGTTTTTATCTTTTTTTTAAGCTGTTATCTTGTGTCGAAACAATGCTGAAAGCCTTAGGACAGTTTAAAGTACAGTTTGCACGGTGTAAAAGATTTTAGTTAAAACAATTGAAGATAATCGGGAATTTATTGGTTCAGTTGTAGGGATTTTATAAGGTTGACATGGGAAAATATGAAACCGTTTGTCGGAAATCTAAAATTATGAGTAGGATTGCTCCTATTTTTTTAGATTGCTCCTATTATGTAATTTTTAGTTGGAATAACCTGATCCTGAATGGCAAGTAGGAAACCCTCAGTCTCGGGTAACATCTTTCCTGATGTCAACCAATAGTTTGACGCTTTATTGTCGATATATTCTTGACTGATTTCATTGAGATGTCGCCCATGCAGAGGTTTACTCATCCAGGTGCACATTTGCTTAGTCAGATGGTTTATGCGCATTTCTTGTTCCCTCAGTTTAAGCGGCGTCGTATCATCTACTGCGCAAATTGCTCGATGTAAAGTAGATGTCTCAGCCTGTACCTGAAAATAAGTTCTTAAATTATCAATTTATTTATCCAATTGCTCACCTATATCCATAAGTCCTATTTCTTCTTGATACCGCGGCAATGTTGTCCTCTCTACTGCACTGCGTGGATGATGTTTTTGCGCCTTTGTGAGAAGTGTTCTTACTTTCTGCTGAAGACCCTCTATACCCGTTTTTGACCACTTTATAATACCAAATGAGTAGCTGAGCGCGGAACAGGCGTACGTATTTAATGCCTTAAACAAATTTTTACTATTAAGATATGACCGATTTGTCTTGTCTAATTATCTTATCTTACTAATGCCTTAAACAAATTTTTACTATTAAGATATGACCGATTTGTCTTATCTAATTATCTTATCTTACTTATCTAATTATTATTATTATTATTATTACTGTATAATTTAAAAATTGGAAATAGAAATTGGCTTCTTTGAATTTGTATGTGGCGTCCTCTCTGAGAGCGCATACTAGTTCAGCGTTGTAGATCAAGTTTTTTTAATGTAAATGTATATCTAAAATTTTAACAGTTTACTGTAAGTATAGTTAGCGTTCTTTTTAAAAGATGTCGATGTACAGAAAAACTTTTTATGTTTCAATATAACAAAAAATATTGTTTAAAAAGTTCTGTTCTTTTTTAAACAATGACGCTATTAAGGATTAAAAAAATGATGATTAGTTATATATTTGTCGGTTTATGCAAAAACTTCCATTAGTTAAAAAGACAGGCTTTAGACTCTGACTTTTCTTTAGTTCTTAATCTTTTTTAACTTTTTATTCTAGTTTAAGACCAAAAATATTGTTTTTTCATTATTTAATTTGAAGTTTTTAGTAACAAATCTCTCTGATTTTGGGGCGAGAATAATACTTTTTCTCCACTGAAAATAAGAGCATTTCGTATAGTATTGATATTTTCAACATCCTATCTTTGCGATATCAGGAGAGGAGTCAGGCAGGGATGTATTATCTCCCGATTACTACTTAATATATATATATATATATATATATATATATATATATATATATATATATATTATATATATATATATATATATATGTTTGAACAAGCATTACTATCTTAAAGTAAAGGAATAATAATTAACAGAAGATATATTAATAACATAGGATATGAAGATGACACAGTGATTATGGCAAGTTCTGCTGAACAACTCCAATTTCTGCTAAAAAACAGACAGTTTCGGTAAAAAATATGGACTAAAAATAAATATAAAAAAGACAAAATACATGATAATAACAAAAAAAAAACAAATATACCAACAAACATACATTTGGAAAGTGTACCGATAGAAAGCGTTGATAAATACAAATACCTAGGAACCTGGATTTCAGACAATAATGATCAAACAACCGAAATAAGAGCCAGGTGTTAATGACGCCATTGAAATGTGGTGTTACAGAATGATACTTAGAATAGCATGGACACAAAAGATAACTGACACGAAAGTAGTGCGAGAAAGGGCAGAGAATGCGAAATAAATACAATAAAAACAAGACAGTTGCAATATCTGGGACACGTAGTGTGGGGACAGTGACATGAACTGCTAAGGGTGATAATACAGGGAAAGATAAGAAAATAAAGGAGTATAGGAAGAAGGAGAGTATCATGGTTGAAGAATTTAAGGGACTGGTTTAAATGCAGTTCTATGGAATCAAAGCAGCAGTAGATAGAGTAAAGATAATGATGATGATATCCAACCTCCGATTCGAAGACGGCACTTAAAGAAGAGAAGACCTTTGCGAAGCCGAATTTTTTGCGATGACTGCTTTCAGGGCAAAATGTCGTATCCCAAAGAGTAAGTGTAGAAGAGCTGTACTAGACAGATTACGATTTTACTATCTGTGAAAACCTTAGAAATAGCGGGTTTGGCAATGATTTTAAATTTTGTAGTATCTAGACCCCCTATTATTGTATATATAGAAAATACTAATATTTTTTCTTAAATATACTGAATCTAAAAACAATACATATGCATGATTTTTCGAGGTCTATATATCAGAACTTATAACTAACGTAAGAACTTACAGACGAGCTGACTTTGATTCAGACCATTATATGGTTGGAGTTAAGTGAAAGTATGAGTATCTAGAAAAATAAAACCCAAAAGAAAGCAAAACATAAAATATAACAACGACGAATTGAAAACAGAGGAAGTAGCCAACAAGTATAGGAAAGATCTAGAAAATATTTATAACCGCGACACAACAGTTCAAATAAACGGCATAGAAGAAAACTGGCAAATAATCGAAAATTGTATAAAAACAGCTATGAATAGAAATATAACAAAGAGTTAAAGCGAATATATAGACACAAGATGTTGCAAACAAAAAATGATAATGATAAAGAAAGATATAATGGGCAAAGAGAATTAGTAAAGAAATTTGCCGAAGGAAGAAAAGAGAGCATTTAAAACGTCAACTTCAAAATATGGAAGAAAAATACCAAAGGAAGGATATAAAATATTTTTACAAATATGTTAAAGAAATAAGCAGAAGTTATAATTCAAAAACGACATACATTAAAGATAAAGAAGCTAATCTGATAGAAACTAAACAATAACAATTAGAGAGATGGAAACAATATTTCGAAGAACAACTGACAAATGAAATAGAGGAGGAAAACGACAATGAACGAGAACCACTACCAATGGATGGATTAGATATTGCAAAATCAACTAAGGATGAGGTTGAGGAAGTTTTAACTGCGATGAAAAACAATAAAAGCCATGGAGAAAACGGGATATCAGCAGAAAATTTAAAATATAGAGGAGACTACCTGAGAGAAAAAATTTATAAACTAATATGTCATATCTGGGAAGAGGAAATAGTACCTAAAGAGTGGTGCAAGTCAATAATATACCCAATACATAAGAATGGACACCTTCCAAGTTGTGAGGAATAGCAATCCTAGGTGTCACATACAAAGTATTGGCAATCATAATAAAAAGGAAAATAGAAGTGTACACAGAAGTGATATTGGGCGACTATAAAACTGGTTTTAGAAACAACTAGTGACCACGTATTCTGCTGTAGAAGAAGTAAGGCACTACAAGAGTTTAAAATACCATCTAAGATAATCAGACTGGTACATATGACGGTTCAGAACACTACAAGCGGATTTACGATTAGTTGAAAGCAGAGCAAATACTTTAGAGTTCAGAATGGTGTAAGACAAGGGGATCCTCTATACATCACGTAGTGTAATTTGGCTCTTGAAAAGTTAATAAGAGAAGGTAATAAGAGACAGCAATATGAATAGATTGAAAACAATATTTAATTTAAGAGTCATCAGTATTTAGCCTATGCTGATGATGTTGTACTTTTGGCTAGAAGTAGAAAATAATTAAAAAAAAGCTAAGAATTTTCTGAATCTTCTAGAGGCCGCAAGAAATATGGGAAAATAGATAATTATAAATAAAATAAAATATGTGGAGCTAAAGAATAAGCAGAATAAAAGCAGAAATCGAAATATGGGAATTGCGATAGGGAGAAAAATTCTGGAAATTGAAGAGGTGGAGGATTACATGTATCTGGGAGTTCTCGTGACAAATAAATGTGAAGAAAAACAGGAAATATGGCTACGGATAGCAAAAGAAAACAGGTGTGCAGGCAGTTTGCAAACAATAATAAAATCGAAAGAGGTATCGAGAAACACAAAAATAAGACTGTATAAAACTATCCTGTGACCTACTTTAACGTATGGGTACGAGACATGGGTATTAACAAATAAACTACAACAAAAAATTGAAATATGGAAACAAAGAATATTAAGAAGAATTTTTGAATGAAAGTAGACAGAAATAGTATGGGAGCGATGAAAGAAAATAAAATATATGAAATATTTGGCGAAGGGAAAATAAGCGATTTTGTCAAAGCTAGAAGATTGCAGTGGTTAGGTCATTTTGTTAGTATGGAGGACAGTAGAGAGGTAAATAACATAGCATGGAGAACACCGGAAAACAAGAGGAAAAGAGGCAGAGCCAGGAGAAGATGGAGAGAAGCAGTTGCGGAAGATCTACAAGAAAAGAAGATAGAAAATTGAAGGAAAAAGCTAGAGTCAGAAGGAGATGAAAGAGAATTACTAAGCTATGAGCCTGAAACGGCCGGCTACAAGCTTTAATATATACCTATATATCTTACAGTAAGATACTGTTTGCATTTTATCTTTGTTTTCAGTATGAATCTAATGTATTGCAGCAGAATTCTGTAATTAAAATATTATAGCTACAGTGGATAGTTAAAAACACATTTTTATTTTTTCTTTGTGTTAATTTAGGATTTAACACTTGTACTGTTCTTGGATTCAATAATTCAATTATATTTGAAACTTGCATGAGTTTTTGAGGCAATAAACTAGCTTCAAAAAAGTACTTTTAACACTCCACATATTATCAAATCCCACGTAACAGTAATTTTATTATTGTTTTAAATAAACGATGTCACAATAAAATTAATAAACAATAATTAAAGAGGAAATATTTCAATGTAAACATAAACAAAGTATCTGTTTAATTATTTTGTTTTCAGTTTGTTGGCATACGATCCTGACCAACTCCAATTTTGTGCTGAGTTAAGATGGAAAAATGATGGGTATCTTTGGATTTTAAGTACGAGATTTCAAAGGTTTTTCCTTAAGACTGTATCTTCGCGGGAATTAAACTTGAGGATTATTCGAATACCATACCGGAAAAACACGATTCACAGAGGAGTTAACGACCTAGTTTTTTAATTTTATGTAATTTATTATTGAATGTATGCGAAAGTTGAAAATTTTGGATGGTTTCAAGTTTAGTCTATTATAATATATCGCTGTTACAGTAAGATATGATTATGGTACAATGAACACAATGTGTTCATTGTACCATGATGAATTTTAAAATAAAATTGTGGCTTATTCCCAACAAGAAATAGTTAATTACATTTTAAGATCACACAAGAAAATAGCTTCAGAAAAATATGTAGTAAGTATATTACGTACTGTATTGGTATGCCAATTACATTTCAAGAAACAACCTTCAAAGGCATAATATTTCAATTATCTTATAAAAAAATGTTTTCTACCTTCCATATATCTAAACCTAATCACCAAAATAAAATTTACTTGAGTTTCTTCAGAATTACGTATAAATTTATGACCTGAGTGTAGGTCGAGGTCCATATTTAGAATAGATACGAGACCACTTAGTGCGTATATTTTAAAATAAATATTATATTTTATTACTTTTGACGATTATCAACCTTAACGCACTCAGTAAGAATATTAATTTATCAACTTTGGTCATAAATGTTTTAAAAATAAATTTTAATTATTCAATCTTTTTTGTATTGTGTTAACATGTACTAAGAAAGTAGGTGGTAGGTAAGTAAGTGGAGACGAAGATATTTTCTTTATAATGGGTCTCCAAGTCCAAGGTACCCGTCTGCTGTCATCTCTTTTATTGAGACAATTTGGTTTTTTTAAATTTCTATTACTTCTCGGAGTTTTCAAAATAAAAAAATTCAGAAATGAGATGTTCATAAATCCTATTTTTAATTCTACGGTTTGTTTGGCCTATAAAGGATAGGGGGCAGTCTGCACAAGAAATTTCATACACTACATGTTGTTCATTTGTCTTTGATTGATCGGACAAGAGATGAAAGTTGATCAGTCGTTAATTTCAGTAAAATTTGACTAATCTTATAATATTAATATCCAAAATGTTTGCCACATGTTCGGGTAATAAAGTGCTACAATAAATTGCAACGTAACTGGGACCACAGGAGGAGGGTCAAACAAAATCGGCTTTAGACTGGATACCAGTTTCAGCCAGATTGTTTTAAGTTCCTCTACTCTGTCAAGGTTACAAAACAGTTGGGAAAGAAATGTGTTTCAGACCGTAGTTTCAAAACGGGTGCGCCATAGGCTTTGGCCCTAACTTCTACTGAATGGTGTAGTCGTTAAACGGGTGAACATTTTTAATATTTCGGGAGTTGGTGGAATAGTAACAGTAACTTTAATAAGGAATTTGTCTCTAGAATTGAGATGTCTTAAAAATCATTCATGTCGTGAACACCTCCTTGTGCACCTAAACAAAAGATTTCTAAAATGTTATAGTTTGCTAGTCTTTCTATAAGGATATGAGATCCGCATTTGAAACAACAATGCTAAATATGTTGAAACCATTTGAGCTGTGAGTAAAGAGATGCCTAGAATGATAAATACAGAGAGGGACTTGCTAAACATAATTAAAAGAAGAATAACAGACTACTGTATGATATAAATATAAACTACTGCGACTCATTATTCAGGGAAAAAGCTCTGGAAGACTATGGATTGCTTACTTACTATAACCCAATAGGATTTACTTATATGTATCATTCTACGTATACCGATCTTCTACGGATATTCACCTGAAGTTTTTGCACACAATACAATATTGCAAAGAAACCTGAAACTCAAAATTGTTTGAAAAATCAATATTCTTTTCAAAAATTCCTAATTCCGATAACATGCATTATGCTTTCACGGCCATCTTCTAACTTGTTAAACTGTTTGTTCTGTTTATAAGTCTGTTCTTTTCATGAAAAGTAGGTGGTATTGAGGCAAATACGGTATAAATTCACCATATCCTTGGAAAATAGTCCCTCAATTAAATGCAGAACATCTTCTAGGGAAACTCTTGTAAATAGGGAAACAACATCAAAGCTAACAAGAATGTCATGTTCCTGTAAAGTTACTCCTTTGATCTTCTCGATGAAATGGACAGAGTCTTTTACAAAGGCATACTTTTTTATATATGTGGTGTAACGAAAATATTTTGCCTACCACAGGGGGCATTTATATAAGGGGTAGAAAATTGGGGGAAGAAACTAAGGGGATGGAGATAAGGCAAGCAAAATAATCGCTACTTATGCGAACGGCACTCAGGGTTTCGTAGGAGAGCTGGGGTCGTGGATAAGTAAAAGATAAGGGCATTGGAATGGGGCAACTACAAAAAAATGAAATAAAGGGCTCTTGGGATAAAAAAAAATAAAAATAAACAAGAAACACCTCAAGGAATTTAATATAGGGCGCCACTTGAGGTGCCTAATTATGCCTATTACAACCACTAGTTGTAACTAGGGAAATAATTAGAAAACAAATCAAAACATAAAAAACATATCTTTTTCAAATAAAAATCAAAAGAGGTTAGCTCAAAAAAAAAATAAATAAAAAGTTAAGAAAATAAAATTTAACTTTTATTTATGTGTCACCACAAACAGTTACATGGAGAAATACAAAATTCAAAGACTTACATGTGTCATCCATTAACAAACTCCATTGCTACAAAACTTACAAAAATTGCATGGAGGTTAACCTTTGTAAACAAAAAAAAACGAAACAAATCAACATCAAAAATACTAAAACGAGCTGTCATAAATTAACATTAAATTTCAAAAAAAAACTAAACACAAATTGACAGCTTTACTCAAAACCTAAAATTTACAATTTTGAATGTCAACGAAAGCAATTATTATTTTATAAAAAAATGTCTGTCTTTAATTTAAAATTTGAACAAAATGTTACCTTAATTCACATGACACACTTAACTTTCTGAAACCATAACTGGAACCTGGAACTGAGGGCTCCACTCTCTCTGCATGACGAAAACCTCCATCTCCAAAACTGCCAAAAGCCTTGGATAAAAGCAGGAACAAAAGAAAAACAAAACGAGGATGTCCTCCAATCCTCACTCAAAACATTAATAATTGAAGCATTTTACTGCCACAAAACCAATAACAAACTGCTACATTATATTCTTCATAATAAAATACGAAAACAGGATACTTTACAAATTCGACGTGAATTTGGACTTAACGTTGAACCACTCTTGAAAGCTGCTACAACGAGAGTGAAGAAATTCTCTATTAAAATTGAACGCATACATATAAACGCTGACATAACAAGACACTACGAAACGACGTACATATCCTTTTGTGACGCATTAAAATTGAAAAGAAATTGCCGAAGTAAAATAAATAAACAACTCTAAAATGGTTTATTTCAACTTGGCCGACCTAACAAAGAAATGAAAAGATATTTGGGTTTAAATACGTACGAAATATGTATACGAGGGGACTTCAATTTACTTCAAAGAATCAATGAAATTGAAAATGCTACAGTGGTTGTAAAATATCGGCCAGCAATTTAGCAAGGCTGTAAGATGGAGCTCACAATAGGGCGTAGAGGTACATGTCTTTGTGTAATTTCGGTAAGTCGTACAAGCGTGGTGAGACTACTTCGCTGTTACATATTCTTGGCTTTGTATCCTCTGGTAGGTATTGTCGAAAATTTTATAAATCTATTGATTTTCCGTAGAGTGACTGCTGTGAGACCTTTTTAAGGCTTTTACATATCGCAGGATCTAGAAGATTTTGTATTTTCGTTATGTAGTCGGTTGTCTTCATTACGACGGTATCGTTTCCCTTGTCTGCTGATAGAATTACATCTTTGTCTGCGTTTAATGATTTTATGGCACGGATTTCTTGGTGATTCAGGTTATTTTTGGGTGTCTTAACTTTATGCAAAATTCTCGCTGATTCTGTCCTTATTTCTTTAGCTTTTTCGATTGATAAGTTACGAATCGCAGACTCGATATTAGCGATAATATCTTCTGTGGGTATAACTTTGAGTGCAATGGCAAAATTTCCACTTTTGGCTAATAATAATGTTTCGGATGGAGCTAAAACCTAATTTGAAAGGTTGACCACTGTCCTTTCTGTGTTTTGTTTTGATTATAGCTCCTTATGTTTGATTAAGCGTTCGCATTTGTTTTTTTGGCGTTCAGTGTTCCTTCTTAGTTCATTTTCCACTTTTCTGTAACAAATAGTTTCAATCTTACTTCAATCTTCATATTTTTACCTGCTGCTCAAAACGTAAAACAAATCTAGCTCCTTGTCAACCTTCGCCAAATTTTGTCTATTATCGTGTATTCTTTCTTAGATCTCGAACAGATACTCAGACTATTCCTACAAATATATCAATTGATCTAAGACCTCAATGATTAGTTAGGGGTCAGTTCTAGTGTAGTTATGGAGTGGTTTCACTGTATTCACGGTTATGTCAGTTATGTACCTAAGGGGCTGTGCTTGGAGCCTATCCCTGAGAATTATTTTTGCCTCTACTTATTATGTTCAGTATTTGGGTAATTATGACCAACTCTCTAACGACTTTTTAAAGAAGCTATATATAGGTTTAGCTGAGCGTTGAGGTATGGACCTGGAGATAAAAGACACAGATCAAATTCGGAAGACGATTAATCGATAACATTACTGCGTTATTTATTGTTATCAATTGTGTTTGCAATATCCAATAATAATGAATATTAAAGCGGTTTAAAAACCAATTATTTTTGTAAATAAGTATTATTTTAGCATAATGAATGACAATAAATGCATCATTAGTTTTACTTAGTTAAACATTTTTGTATGGGTTATACATATTCTAAGGTTTTTCTTTTAACTAATATTTTCACTTAATATATATGTACTGTGGTAATTATTCACATGTTTATAAACAATTTTTATCCCAGCAATAGCAAACTATGAAAGAACATTTTATTTTTAGATTCTCATACTTTAGTCATTAAATTAATAGAAGACGAAAAACAATTTAACCAACCTTTTATAATAAATTCATCGCATTTCTTTTACTAATAAATCACTTAAGTTTGTTTTGTAATTTTGACTAAATTGAGTTAGTTGTAATAAACACTTTATTCATTTTTTGAAAAATCACAGACATGTAATATTGGCATAAATACTGTAATTTATATCATTTATCTTTGTTTATCTTTATAAGACAACACCCTAATATGGGTTTTATTATTGTAGCATTTAATTAACTTTGTATCGACAGACCTGAAGATGCTTTACATATTGTAGAAAGCGAAACCGGTCGTCTAGATAGTTAAATTAAACTGATTGTGAGTAAGTCTTATTTATTGTTTCTTTTACTTATTTAAAATGGACTCACACAAGCATCACATTCATGATAAGAAAGAAGGTGTTTAGGTTCAAAAAATTTTTCAGTCAAGTCGTAAATTTTTGGATAAGTTCCATTTAAAATTAGTAAACTGATGTTACAGTAATTAAGTTTACTGAATATTTTCTTGTTGTTATTAATTTTGTTTACATTTCCAATCACACTTCATCTAATTTATATAACGATGCACGTCATCGGCGTCATAGCCTGTGACGTCACATGATACCAACATAAAATATTTAGGGTGTAGGTGTGTTCTTTTTTAGAATCACTTTACCGAGTACACTGGCATTACAGCCACTAGACATATTTTATTATATACGCGTAGAAATAATATTTAAAAATTTCTATTATTGTTAACTCAAAGAAATACACAATAATATGTTTCATTTAATTTGTATAAATGCATTATAAAGCGTTTTTAGCAAGAACATTTGTTCGGATCACACTGTAACTGTAATCGAACGAAGGTAAAATTTTGGCATAAATTGGTAACACTTATTTGACAGTTGCGGTGTTGACACTTTTTGTACTTTATTATTTTGAATTTTAAAGTGAATATCTCTTGTTTTATATTTTTAACTATTTAATAAAATCTGTTCTTTTTAGAACAAAATTAGTGTGTTTTATTTCACAAATGTCACGTAAGAATTTAAATAGTTGTTGTAAAGAGATGGTAATACTTTTGCAATAATTATGTGACCTATTTGATTTAAAATGGAGTCAGGATTTTTTTATACTTTGGCAACTATGTCAACTTCGATCTCTGACGTAGATAATGACGTAAGTCGTTATCTAAATTAGATGAAGTATACTTGGTTTACCTTAAACTGTTACCAATGTTTTTTTTAATAAATAGTTTTATCTCATTTTGAAACTAATTTAGACTTTACGTCAAATACATACATTGTGTCCGTAAAGTATGGAACAAATTCTTTTTTAGCTATACAGAGCATTTTAAGAAATAATCCTGAAACATGTCGATTTTTAATTTTAATTTACCGTGTTTTAAAATAATTTTCTAATATACAGGGTGAATTACTTTCGAGTAATGACGTCACCGTCATTTTTTTTAAATGGAACACCCCCATTTTGTCTCAATTTTTGGATTACTCTAGTTGAGCTGATTCCAAAAATGTATCACATATTGATTCAAATTGGTACAGGGTGGACAAAATTAGAATAGTTCTAGTGTGTATGTTCATAAAGTAACGCGTTAGTTAAATTAACAATATTATCAAAAATACTTATTGTCTAGCGGACAGAATATGATGAAATACATGACTTCATAAATGTTTGAACTGCAGCCCTTGCTGTATTTGACAGTAACCCAAACGTACAAATTCTTGTTGAACCTTGTTTATTGTGTCTTAAGAAATATTATTGTATCTTAAGAATTATCTGTTGTAATTCTTGAATATTTGCTGGTTTTGTTTGATACATAGCATTCTTCAAATGGCCCCACATAAAATAATCCAAAGCATTGAAATCTGGTGACCTCGCTGGCCATTCAATAGGTTCACGTCTACCAATCTACCTGTTCGGAAAAATTTCATCTAGGTACCTTCTAACATCTACAGCATAATGTAGAGGTGCACCATCCTATTGCAACAATAAACTTTCATCAAAACCTCCAGGATTACGTCTGCTGGGAAACAAATTACGTAAAGTAGGTACGAGATACCCCCTTAAAAACTCAAGGTACGCTGCCCCGTTTAAATTACCTTCAATAAAGTAGGGTCCGATGATTCGATTTCTTACAATTGCAGCCATACATTTACCTTTTGCGAGTATTGTGTATGACGCTCACGCATCCAGTGGAGGTTTTCTTTTGCCCAGTATCTACAATTCTGACGGTTAACCTCGCCATTTAACCTAAAAGTGGCCTCATCAGAAAAAATAATATTTTGTACCAAGAGAGGGTCTTGGTGGCAGTTATCCATCATTGTTTCGCAAAATTACATTCTTCTTTCGGGATCCTCTTCGTTTAATTCCTGCACAAGTTTGCTTTTATATGGATGCCATTTTTCAAGCTTTAATAGTTTGTATACCGTTGTTTTGCTAACACCGATATCATGAATAATTTTACGCACAGAAGTGTGCGCATCTTCTTCAAAACTAGTAAAACATCTAATGCTGTATCAGCATTTGCAGAGGGACGAACTGATTTCCGTGCATTTTCAACCATACCGGTTTCTCGAAATTTCTTTTTAATCTTACTGACTGTTGAACCCGTTGACGAAAAAATGACGTCATTACTCGAAAGTAATTCACCCTGTTTATTAGAATATTATTTTAAAATACGATAAATTATGATCAAAAATCGATGTATTTCAGGAT